TTTCTCTGAAATAATTGATTCCATGTTGTTTTCAGTTGATCATCTTATCAAATACCTGGCTGTTCGATTAGCTCTTGAGCCTGAGCCAGGATCCCCTGACCAGCTTACCTTCTGTATATATGTATCGCCAAATCCTGGGGCCCCAGGACAGTATGTAATGCTTGGTGGTGGATCAACTTTGTATCAAATTGTTGAGAAGTTTTGGAGAGTAAATAAGCCAATTGAAATGTATTACACATGGAAGGGAAATAAGCTACCAGGTTCATCAACAGAATAACAGGAGGTGTACAAATAGATTTTCAAGTTCTTCTTTGAATGTTGACTTTTCTCTTAAAAAAATTAATAAAAAAAACAAGAAGAAAGGATTGAAAAAGTACTACGGAAGAGCTGGTTCTACAAATTCTTCCTATCATATTTTGTACCTTAACACTGCTCTGAAATGATATGTAGTTAATTTATTTTAATTTTCTCTGTAAATTAACAAAGCATAGTGAAATATGCTTTTTGTCAGTTATGTGATACTTGAGTTTTTAAGAAATTGTTCTCTATGAATATCTTTTAGTTTCTATGGACAAGGGACAAGTGCAAATCTGCACCGCCTCGGCCAAATTTTCCTGAAGAGATTGAAGAGAAAACTTGATTTGAGACATTTTCTTTACCTATGCAATTTATTTGAAATCTAGAACAAGTATGTACTATGTGGTATGTCCATAAACTTAGCAGCTGTTTCAGTGAAGGTTTCAAAAATCTAACAATGATATTCTCCAGGTCCCTGTGAAGTCAAAAACTACTCCCTATGATGAAATTAATGTATAAGTGGTTAAGGTAATATAATTAAATGTTATCTCAACAAATGGATTATTCCTTTTCTTACTGGTATACATATACTGACTAGAAAACTATTTTACCTCTTTTTCTACTACCTCCTTACTCATATCTTCTGGCTTTTGCGTGCACTATGCCCATTGAAACAGGTCACACTGGTCTTTCTTGGGAAGTGGACAGCAATAAAATTCCCTACCATTGTTTTCATTCTGTTTCAACACTCTGCGCAAAATTGATCGTTTTTCGTGTTTGCATAAGGGATGATGAAGGTCAGCCCACTGAGGAGGGGAGAAAAAGATGAGAATTTGATAGCAAGTTGTTAAAAAAATTGATTCAAGAAATGAGATAATACCAACCTGGAAATATTTACATTGTTTGTTACCTCCTAAACTACAAGTATAAAACAGGCGGCCCAAGTTTTCTCCGGGTCGTTTCACTGACCTGACAGAACAATTCTTGCCATGTCCGGGGCATAGAGGTATTTTCCTGTCACCTGTTGGAAACAATGTATGAAACCCAGTTTACGGGGAATTCTTTTTAAAATGATAATACTTTATGTCTGAAATATGGTTAACTGAACTCATTACCATTTTCTACTCTCTTTCTAGCAACATCCACTGCTTTTTCCTGTATCTTGATTTCTTTTTTCTCCTTCTTAGCCAAGATTTGAGGCTGTGAATCTTCATTTGATAACTTCCGTTTCCTAGTAGCATTGGAGGCATAATTTAACTTCAACTTCAATGTACTACAAAAGACACTATTGAATAAGAAGGGGGGAGTACCTGATATCAGGCATCTGACCAGAACAAATAATGCATGTCGCAGATGTAGAATCATTAAGAAATGTACAATGAGGACACTCCCTACTTTTTTCTATCTTGAGTTCTTCGTCTCTTTTAACCAAGGTTTGAGGTTGAAGCTCTTCACTTGAAAAGTTATGCTCCCTGTCGCTGTCACAAAGTTTGGGTTTTAACTCAACATTACATTATTTTTAGTGATGGGTCGAACCGCATTTTTGTAAACCGAACCGAACCCGAACCGAACCTACAGATCAAATAAGTGAACCGAACCCGAACCGAACCAAGGTCCGCCGAACCTTGAGCGAACCTCGTAAATTTAAAACGAACCGAACCTAAACCTTCTACACTTAAACGCCAACTCAGGATGAAGAAAATTAGGATAGTTAGCTCAATGATTTAATTTTTAAATTGTCATTTGTCTAACTACAGCGGGTTTAGGTCGCTCTCTGAGTCGTGGAACGTCTTCGGGGCGATTTCTGCTAAGTCGGTCCGGTCCGAGGTTCGCTTTTCGAACGTCTAAAAAAGCCGGTTCGTCAAGGTTCGGAACCCGAACCTTTTTAGGCTTGAGGTTCGAAAAACGAACCGGACCGAACCCCCCCGGTTCGGTTCGGTTCGGTTCGGTTTCCGAACCGTTCGACCCATCACTAATTATTTTGTAAGACTGTTGTGTAAAAGAGAAGGAGGTTACCTGTTATAAGGTTTCTGACACAAACACATGATGCAAGTCGGCGATGCAGAATCATTGAGATAAGTACAACGTGGACACTCCCAAGTTTTTTGGACAGTAGACACATCGGATAATTGCAAAAACCCCAGCAAGGAATTTTTCTTAGGAAGATTTAAGCTTGAATTAACTTGACATTTACTGCAGAAAAATGTAAGTCTCTTTAAATTTCCTGGCTTACACACAGTCACTTGGCTATCACATTGAGGACATTTAGTTTTCTCATAAATGCACATATGGGGTTTCAGTGGCTTGTTCGTTTTACGGCACTGAAACAAGAAAGTTGTTCATGATAGCCTAAACTTGCTGATAGTGGAGAGGAAGAAATAAGAGAGAACATAATATGTACAAACCGTGTAAAATACAGCTGAAAAATCTCTGAGACGGTGAATGAGGCAACCAATAAGACTTGATGAAAGGTCCTTTACTTGTGAAATTGGATTGATACCACTCTTGAACAATCCCTGAACATTGAGAAAACAGACAACACAAAATAATTCACAAAGATGTGCGAGTATCAATGAGACTTGAAAATAAAACCAATTAAAGTACCTCATTTTTTATTATGTTGCCGACACCAGGAAGCACCATTTGATCCATGATAACATCACATATCAGCTCCGACTGCTGTTTCTCAATCTCTTTTTGTGCCCTTTTGAAGTTGAAGCTAGATGCATTAATATCAAGATCTGCAAGTTCATCGCAATGCTGTGAACTTTCATCAGCCAATCTAGAGTGCAGAAAACAATGAAACACTAAACCATTTGGATATACTACAACAAGGTTTTGAAAACAAATAATTATACCAACCTTACATCAATTGAGCTTTTAAAGACAAAAAGTTTTGTGTCATTAAAAAAGATTGTAAGACAAGGTTCAGAAGTTTGAGCGTTCTTATCTTTGCTATCTCCATATCTTACAGATCCATCCATAAGAAAGTGTATGCGAATGCAAAAAGGACTCTGTGCCATGAAAATAAATAGTTCCTTGCCCAACGTTCGAATGTCAGAAACTTGTAATCCATGCAGTTGAACAAAACGTGTGCTGATATCTTTGGCAACCTAGGTTTCAAGAAAGCATGACAACAGTGAATTATTCAATAAACTCAAGATCAATAAACTTGTGACAAAAAACCAGTACAGCTCAGAAAGTATTGTAGGAGTACAACAAGTAGTGCACTCACTGTAGTATGAATGGATCTTACCCCTTTCTTCTCAGCTACTGTATTGACAATAGTCTTGCCTTTTATTCTTTTCTTCATAAGTTCCCCCTTAACTTTGCAGCCCGGTCCTTCAACCATGGTTGGAAATTTACGTAGGAAATGCTAGCTGTCTTGCGTGTTTTTGTTGCCTTTCTTGTAGAAGTTGTACCAGTTGTACTTGACTTGCGGTTGCGGCTCTTGTCTTTCCGCGCGTACAAGCACAACATCACAATCGTTCGGTAACATCGATTGTATCGTGCAGCATACAACAATTATTCACAGCGCTTATTATTATTTGCAGTTTACAGTTGCAGTGTTTGCAGGACCAAACAAAAGCTCCTTTGTTTTGTTGTTTGATTTGTTGATACTCCTACCTGTTGAACGGAACAGTATTTTCTTGAGCTTGAAAGTAGTTCATGTACATATCCTTATTACAAATCTTACTTTGAAGACAACTCCATCCACACTCTCACTTCTTTCCAACGATAATGAAATCCAGCCTCCCATGGTAAATCAGTAATGGTGCTTGGTTATGTTTAAAAGCAAGATTTTGCCTTTTATTGTTTTGAAGTTAAAAATTTCTGTTTAACTTTTATGTTTCACTATTCTGGCTTCACCCCCTGCCTTTGTTTCCTCTTTAATCTTTGTCGAGTACGTTTTAATGAATTTTATTTTCCTTGCTCTCTCTCAACATTGACAGTAATTCAAATTTATTGTTTTATTTTACAGGGTGGATGTTTTTGATTTGCGGTAATGTTTGTGTCTTCCAATTAAGAAGATGGACCAAGATGTTGATATCTTATATTGAGTAATTTACCTGTTATGCTAATGTTTAATGAGTTTCAAACTTGCTCACACTGCTGTTTTCACCAAATTATTACTGTGGAGACAATTATTGACATAGTGCAAGACCCAGCGCAGACTTCAGAACCATGGCAGCATCCATATCCTCAGACTCTTGTGAAATTTCTCTACATGCAACAACTGGCTCGTCAAGTAGTATGGACTTTTTGAGGAATGCAGACACTTCAAACAATATTCCATTTAGTGATATGCTTGACTATGATGGGTGTGGATATAGTTTATCAACGAAAGTCTCTCCTAAGTACGGAAATGAACAAATGCAAAGTTATGTTTCTATCATACCAGGCAAATATGATTTAAATACAAGTGTACCTGAAAACTACTTCAATCTTGAAAAATCTGTATTAATCAATGGAAACCAGTCAATTGAGACAAGTGGAACTCTATGTTCTGAAGCTCAAGATGTAAGCAATTTCTCTACAGTTATGGGACATCATTTTCAAGAGAATTATAATGACCATAGCAGCAATAATCATTGTGAAGATAATAATTATCAGCTTGCTGAGCTGACTTCCAAACAATCAAACTTCAGTGGAACTGATGGGTCTCCTGAGACATTCCTTGAAGTAACAGATGGAGGAAGAGTAGTTGCAGTATGTCCTGTGATAATTAGTAGGAATAATGAATTTTACTGCTCTGAATGCAAAAGTACATTCCCTGATAGATTCTCAGTCATCTCTCATTTAATGAGTCATGTAGAAATCAAGCTATTCCGGTGTATTGCTTGCGATTTACTCTCATCCTCAGAGGCTGAAGCTAGACTTCATTTTGAATCACACATTTCTGGAGGAGTTATGCCTGGATTTATCAACAAAATAAATCTGAATAGGTAAGTCTTTCTGACCCTTTCTTCAACTTTATTTTAGTGTTTAATCTTATTAAAATTTGTATTTTTTATCCAGTAATAAAAAAGAACATAATTTTAGCAAAGCTGAAGTACACAGCACAGTTAAGAATTCAAGCATCAAAAGTGGAAAGGTAAGATTTTTCTGATATGTCCAAAAGCTTTGAAGAAAATAAAATATATTAACAAACTTATTTTGTAGCGTGAACGCAAATGGATTTGCAAGATTTGTCAGAAAGCATTCTGCAGTTCAAAAGCTCTTCATGAACATGATGTTGTCCATACTGGGGCTCGTGATTTTCCCTGCAATATTTGTGGTAAAGCTTTTGGAACAGCTGCAAATATGCGCATTCATCTTGCAACACATTCAGATCAGCGACCATATGTTTGTCTGACATGCAATGCTTCTTTTCGCCAGAAGGATAGCCTTAAGGTGATTAAGTGTTATTTTTAATATAAACATCTGTATTTATGGTTATCTGTACAAAACAGAACACTTGAAACTAACAGTTATATTCTCAGGTACACATCCGGAAACATACTGGTGAACGACCCTTTGTTTGCAGTGTATGCAAAATGGCCTTTGACCGCAGCTTTACCTTGAAGAACCATATGATGAAGCATGCAGAGAAATCTTTTGTTTGCTCTGTTTGTGGGAAATCTTTTTCCACTAGGGGTGGTTTATTTAATCATGAAAGGCTGCACTTTAAGGATCCCACTTTGCCTAAGAAGGTATAGATTAATAATGATGGAAAGGTCACAATTTATCCTATAGAGTAGTTGTATAACTTACAATATTTCCGTAAGCAGATTATGACAATTATATCTACTTGCAGGAACGTCAGCCTCGTGCTAAATCAGGAACTGGTGATTGGATCTGTGATGAATGTGGCAAGATATATTCCTCTCGCAGTAATCTTAAAATACACAAGAAAACTCATGAACAAATTCAAGTCTGCCATGTCTGTCCTGTGTGTTCCCAATCATATAAAAGCAGGGACAGTATGGAGGTCCATATGAGGAGGCACACTGAAGAACGACCGTATAAATGCACTATGTGCTCCAGGTCGTTTTTTAGAAACTATACTCTCAAAATTCACATTCTGACCCATACAGGTAAAGCTACTGTGTACATATTGTTAATTTATCTTCTCTCACAATAGGAAATATATATGATTGTGTACTAATACAGTAACCATAATTATTTTTCACTATCTGTTTTCAGGAGAGAAACCACAAAAATGTCCCATAGAAGGTTGCAGTAAGTCTTTTGCACAAAGATCAAGTCTATCTTTTCATGTTAAAAATCACAAAAGAAAGGAGGAACGCAGTTTGAACCCAGGTAATGGTAAACGTCCCTATAGAAAACGTCAGGCTGCTGTAGATGCAGCTAATGGCAACGTCAGTGTAAACAGTATCACGAATATAAAAGACTATGAAAGTTCCGACGTGCCCAAAATTGGAGGAACGGAGGCTTTGAAATTTGGTCCAGAGGCTTTAATGTCACAAAATATTGCAGAAAACATTGTTGATCCTGGTGTGCAGTCAATGCTCGATGATATCTCCAATAACATATCCCACCAGATTGAATTACCTTCTGTCTGGGGTGATAATGAAGGTGTATCCATGTTAGGTGTTGTTAATGGGCTTCATCACACTTCACAACATATGTCTCTTAATGACCAATCAATAGTTACGGATCTCCAACAGCAGCACTGCCAGCAGACAAGCCTTATGCAATATGTGTCATCTGAAACACTACCGATGTTGGTTGGTGTTCCTGATACCATGATATACCATCATGACAGTGTTCACAAAATGGTATCAGGGCAGCCACCTCATTTGCCATAGAAATTAATTTCATGTTGACTGTTTTTAAATTAGCTGTAAGTGTTTCATGAAGTACTAAGCAATCAGAATTAATGCAAGGTAAATTTTAAAATGGAGCAATATTAGACTATTATTTTAAGTACCATCCAGCTATTTCTTTCTAGAATTCAATTTTTATTTAATTTTGTGCATTCCATTCAGTGTAATCTTTTTGGATACATTGGCTATTTAGTGCCTATTGATTATTATTGGTTTTACATGGCACCCAATGGTAATTTGTTAAGTTTGAAATTGGAAGTATGAAGTATGTAAAGCTCAAATCTATTTTGAAGTTAGTGAGTTTAATCTTAATTTTTTTATTATTCAACCATTGTGTTAAGCGTGAGTTGTGAGAGGTTGATAGGTATTTTTTTTTTGCCAAGAAGTATGATGGAATGTGAAGATTTGTTTCATTGGTGTTTTTGATGTCATTTTGTGGCTGTGATTATTTTCTTAGCTTTCTTTTTCTTGAGTTTCAATCTTGTAGTATTGTGAATGATGCAATACGTCAAGATTTTAGGGAGCAGTAAAGAAATTTCCAATTTCATGCAAATGGAATTAAAATGTATTTTTATGTACATTCAACAAATAAATAATGATAAGAATAAGGTAAAGAAATAACCAACATCTCTTCAGTGAGTACTCATGATAAGTTTTACAATTAGGTTCATTGGCAGTCTAATTGTGCTGGGAGAGATACATCAGAAATACATCATACAAGAGGGGTAACACAAGTTATCAGAGTAACATGTATTCTTCATCCTTAAGATTTACTTTCCAGTGTGAACCTAATTTTAATTATTGGGAGAGGGCTACTCAACTCATTGTCCATTGTTCATCCCCCAGCTAGGATGAAAACAAAATCATTACTGTACTTTGAGTTGTTTAAATGTGTTTATCTATTATCTTTTGACTAAATTATTTTCCTGTTTCGTTTGGGAACTTCTTATCACGGAGTGGGCACACATTTGGTTACTTAAATATTTCACATTCATCCATGCATTCATACTTTCATTCAGTCACACATTCATGCAGACACTCACACTTCACACACAGGTATGGCGCTCTTCTGCCAAAATTGAGCAAATGATAAGAAATTAACCAGACAGAACGTGTTAAAACAATATTGCATGAACTGTCATGTCTGACTGACTAAAGGGAAAGGTGGTTAATGGCTTTCCTCAATAAAACAAGAAATCTAAGCTAGTGCTGTGAGCTAGAAAATATGTACATATGATGGTGTATTATTGATTCAGCTGTTAAACAGTAATATTTTATCAGTAGTTCTAGTCCATATTTATAATACATAGCAACATTTTGTTTCTTTACACATCTACACTCATATTTTTAACAATAACAGTTCCTTAATGTACAGCAATTGGTAGCTTGCAAGCTGACTACACATTCTGATCACTTCAACAATAACATTTTTATTTAAGAAAAATATTTACTATTTGAAATGCTAAATGTATGACAAAGGTTAAAGCTAAGGTTGACTCTTTGACACAGTCAGGAGAGTTTTACTTAAAGAAAAGTACAGCTCCCCTAAGTGAGCCATCGATGAGAGACATCCTGATCCACAAATTGAAGTTGTAACATCTCATTATTTGTATAGGAAAATTTAAGCAGCGGAAATCCTTAGTCAAAAATGAAATTTCCAGCTGAAGCTCTTCAAATACATCCCTTCCTCTCATAAACATCAATTAGAATAGTGTGTGTAATAATTGACATTTAAATCTGCACTTAAGCAAGCCTAACAACTCTGTTTTGTAAATGACTATAACACTATTCTAAGAACAGTGCTTAGAGCAGATGAAAGATCAGTACAATAACGATTGGAAGAGGCATTCCTCAATGCTGCCATGTGCCCAAGGTGGTTGAATCAATATACTATACAGCCTTCAATTCATATATAAACAATTTACAAAAGTTAAAAATCCATTTACAAAAGTCTTGATATGGCAAAAAAGTTGTAAACTTAATGTCCAATTATTCATTGACATGTGCATTTACTCTTTTCTACTTAAAATTTAAAGAGTCTTATACAAAACGAGTAAATTTACTTTGTAATAGTCCACAATCTTTTTAACAGTATAAGATAGATAAAAAATGTTTTTGTTTTTTTTGGATTGCATTTACAGTCAAATTCACTATTTAAACACAAAAGAGTTTTGAATGTTGAGAACAAAGTAATCTGATCTGAATCACTTGCACATTAAATATCACCAATTTATCACGAAGTGCTCACTCAGCAGTTTTGTACCGTGGTGGAACATATCTCCAAGCATGTAATCTTGCTAGACTTTACCGATGGAAGTTCTGTCGACTACTATATGTGCTCATCGGAATACAGCTTGGTTTTGTTCCATATACATCTCCCTGTGTCTCATAATCCACATCATAATATATTCCACTCTGATTCTGGAGGGGAGAAAGTAAACATGTTAGTGAAAACAGACGATATGTGATGATCAACCGTCTGACCAAGGATCAATGTTATACTCACCGCTAGACTACTTCTGCTCTTGGGCCTTGGCACTTGGAAGTTCCTGCCGAGCAGGTCGGTCCTGTCCTCCTCCTCACTGCTGCTGGTGGCGGGCTCCCGCTCGCGGGCACGCTCCCGGGCGCGCTCCCGCTCCCGCTGGCTCTTGAGCGTGTGCGCGAGCGTGCTGTAGGCGGCCAGGGAGGGCGCGTTGGCGTGCGGGTGGCCGTGCTGGCCTCCGTGCTGGCCGCCGTGCTGGTGCTGCACCGTGCCGTAGGCGCTGAGCGTGCCCATGGTGCCCTGGCCCTGCAGGGAGAGTCGCGGCAGCGGCACGGGCGGTGGGATGGCCGTCATGGCCGCCATGGGCAGCGTGCCGTGGCCCATGCTGGTCAGCGACGGGTAGCCGAACAGCGCGGACGAGGGTCGCGTCGCGCCGCCCCCGCACGTACCCACCGGCTCGGGCTGCTGGCAGAGGAAGGGCAAGGTCAGCGTCTCTGTCTGCTTGGCCGAGGGTACTTGTACACGGGGCAGCAAGGTCTGTGCAGGGAGATGGCGGTTCAAACACTGGCCGTGGCAGGCTGCCTGGCAGGGGCGCTGTCCCCCAGCTCGCTGTGGCACTCACCGCGTAGTGGTTGGACGACTGCACCTGCGCCATGGCGTCGGCGATCTGCGCCCAGCGGAGCCGCTCCTCCAGGGTGACCTGGTAGGGCGGCGCGCCCATGGCGGGCGTCTTGACCGCGCCCCCGCCCCCGCCCATGTAGCCGAAGACGGGTGAGCCGTAGCCGAGGCCGGAGGCCGACTTCTGCTCGCGGCTCCAGCGCCGGCTCCACATGCAGAGGCACACCAGCGTCAGGACGATGATGACGACCGCGGCCACCGACGCGCCAACGGCGACGCCCAGCACCTCGCCGTCGACCTCGCACTGCGTACCGTAGAAGTTACCCGTGCAGCTGAGGACAGAAAGGCAGAACAGAGTTAGCCACGCCGTAGAGCTGGAATCCTAGAATCCAAGGCACTCGTTGGAGACTCACTGGCAGACTTGGTTGGTGCCGTCGAAGCGGCACTCCCCTCGGTGGTTGCAGTACTCGGCCGGACACGCCTCGCACTGCCGCCCGCTGCGCTGAGGGTTGCCCGCCCAAGGGTCGCGCAGGCCCTCGTTGCAGGAGCAGCGGAACGAGCCGAACACGTTGCTGCAGTGCGCCTGGGCGTGGCAGTCGTTGAGCTCGGGCTCGGCGCACTCGTCCACGTCGCGGAGCGGCGCCACGGCGCCCGCCGGGGAGGCGACCCACAGCGCGCTCGAGCCCACGTTGTTGTGGCGGCGGTGCAGCACCCCCAGGATGTGGCGCTGCACGTCCTGCGCCAGCGTGTTGGGGCGCGTGGCCGCGGCCGCCTCCTCCAGCTGCAGCGTCGCGTTGACGAACACGGCCTGCACCGAGGCGTTGGCGTGCTTGGCGTCGGGCAGCCCCCCGGGCACCAGCACGTCGCCGGCCAGGTCCTCGGCCAGACTAGGCGCCAGGAAGATGCGGTTGATGCGGGCCCCCATGAACTCGTCGGAGAACGGCGTCATGGACATGGCGGAGTCAATCTAGAAAATAAAGAATGCGGAGTGACCGCTCGGACTCGGCTGTTTCTTTCTCAGACGGCGTCTAACGGCGACGCTCGGGGTACTTACCGCCATCACGGCCTCGTACTCCAGCTGCTGGTACTCGTCGGACTGGGGGTCCTGGAACTTGTCGGTCCAGTCGAGGCGGCGTTCATACATGCGGTCCACCCTCAGCGACATGAGCAGGGACACGATGCCTGTAGGTTGCAGCTGATTAGTCAGAGCTCTGCAGGGCGTGTCCGAGAGGCCACACCTCGCCGTCATACTCACGTCTGCAGGGCTCGCGGTGCTTGCGGCGGCTGTACCCGGGCCGGCAGTGGCACGCGGACACGCCCACCTCGGTGCGGCACATCTCGTTCTGCGCCGCGTCGCACGTCGAGTCGTCGCCCACGATGCAGGTGTCGATGCGGACGGGCGGGTGGTTGGGCCGCTTGTACGGGCGCCTCGGCGGGGAGGGTGCAGGCGCGCCGGGGGCCGCCCCCGGGACTCCTGGGGGCGGGACTGGGCCGGGCGCACCCACCCCAACACCGGGGGCGGCGTGCGTCGGCCGGGAAGGCAGCGCGGACACGGAGCCAGCTGCGACCGGGCCGGGGAACCTGGGAAATAAGCAGGGGGTCTGCTTTAGAGCATGCGACCAGAGCCACGGGGGTCTAGAACGTGCGACCAAGAGCCACGCGGCTACACGTTGGGCTGCTACCATCCCGACTCCTCTTCGCGCTCCGGCTGAGCTCCCGCCTGAGGTCGTTCAACCGGAGCGATCCGGATCTAGGAGCAGCGCGAGTGAGCCGCTTCACCTTTTTCTGGCGCGTTATCTCCTAATTGCTCGGAATATTTGACTCGACCTTGGCGATTCAGCGGCGGCGGTGATGGTCCGCTGAATCGCCCTCGTTAGAAAAAAAAAGTGCAAGCATTTTTCTATCCCGGACTGAAGAAAAATGAAACGTAGTCAGCCGTGCGGTTTCCCCTCTTGATTAGGCCTACTCGATGCGGAACGCCTCGCCACGGCGTCGTGGCGTTCTTGTCAGAAACGTTGGTAAATTGTTAGAAAAAGAACAACGAGCGACATACAGCGCGGTGCGACTCACCCGGTGCGGTGCGGCGGCGGCTGTACCGGCGCCGGCGCCACGCCCACGCTGCCCGCGCCGCCCATCTGGCCGCCGGCCTGCTCCGTGTTGAACAGGTTGATGTAGGTGCGCTTGCCGTCGATGGACACGAAGTGCTGGCCGGCCTGGGCTGCCGTGATGACGGCCACGTCGCCGTGGCCGTTGCCCTCGCCCGCCACGGCGCCGCCCACCGACACGCCCTCTATCTCCACTGCGAAACAAAAGAAAAGTGATAAATAAGTTGATGACATCACAGTGTAAGGTACTTCTGGTTTGTGGTACTCACCCGGGTACACGATGGCCTGGCCGGTGGCGCCGCCGCCGGGGCCCTGCACGGCGCTGACGGTCACGTCGAACACCTCGCCGTAGTGCGGCTGGCCGCCGGGGCCCAGGGCGGGCACGATGTGCGGCGCGAGGTGCGGCGTGAGGTGGCCGCCGTGCGCGGCGGAGGTCATGAGCGCGGGCCGGCCAGGCTTGTACTCGGTGTCGTCCAGCACCAGCCCGGGGCGCGGGCGGTAGGGCCGGTACCCGAAGCCTGCGCAGGGGGAGAGAGGGAGAAGGGTTAGCGACATACTTAGGCGAGGGCTCGTGGGAGCTGGCCTGGGAGTGAAGCCGTCATGCCCGCCTCGAGGCACGCCTCCTCCTCGCAGGGCAGGGGCACGACGCCGCGCCCACTGTCCCGCCCCGCCCAGTTAGCATATTATCTCGGTTACATTACCCCCGCGATGCGTTGGTCGGGGCGGACCGGTTTGCATCGCTATTGGTTGAGTGGCGAGCCCGTGCCGCGGGCGTGGCGTGGCGCGGCGTGGCGCTCCTGCCCGGCGCGATCAGCCATGAAATCAGCATCAGCCAGGATGGGAAGGGCACAGAAGACGAGGTGCCAATTGCAGGCCTCCGCCGTCTCTCTGATCCCTGGCATCTCGCCTGGATATTCCCGCGACTGTAAACGGTTGGCGGACGGAGGAAGAGCCCGAGCATCGCGGCGGCGGCGAGGCCCTCGCCCGCGGTGGGGTCGGACACCTGTCCCAAGGTGCAACTCTCGTACTCTCATGGCTGCCCTTCCCTTGTGCGGCGGACCACTCAGGGGGACATAGTGCTGCACCGTCCGGGCCCCAGCGAGCGTTCAGACCGCAAAGCGACCACACCAAGTCCAGCCGAACCGTTAGGAATTAGCCGACTCCTCGCCAGAACCACACTCCAGTGTTTGCCTGGAACGCACACTTACTTGTGAAAACGAGAAAACAAAACCCGCGTTTTGCGTTGCGGGTATTTATCGCCGGAATAAAAGTGTCTTCGACCTCCCGCAGCCGCGAGGCCCCTCCGCCCCCTCCTCCCATTTACGCCGAAAGCGGAGCAACGCGGGGCATGCTACTGGCTTTTCTTGGCGGTTTTGTCAGTTTGGCCTATCCGAGCTTCCGCTGACGCGATGACGTCCCGTGGCCAAATGGACCCCGACTTGTCCGATTACCACCCCTCCTCCCCTTCCCCATCCTATTTTTTTTCCCGCCGCCGCGCCACCTGCTCTCGGTTCTTTTTCTCGTTTTTCGTGGACCTGCTCTGCTCTGCCGTCTTTTGCCTGCCCTCCTTCGCCTCCTAAATGAAGGCGGAAAAATGTCCTTGGGAGAGTGTGGGAATCCGAGAGGGAGCGGGCGGCAGCGGCGGCTGGTTCCAAGGCCAGGTGCGAGGCCAGGGACGGCGGCGGCCCACGTGAGCAAGTGGAATCCGATCACCGTTAGGTCGGTGCGCCTGCCGGGGCCGCGCGGCATGGTACCCGCAGTGTTGTGCGACTCTGCTTCGCCTAGCTGTCTTCTTCTACGCCACCAGACCAGTTTGGGCAACAGAGATGACGGGGGGACGGCCGCCTGTGGCTCCTCACCTCCTCGCCCTGCCCACTCGAGTGAATGGAGCAGCGCCCCGCCCCCGGAGCCACGCCAAGTATGTCGTCTCCCCTGTCCTGTCGGCGTGCCGTTGGGCTCAATATCATTCTGTTCATTCTGTTCAATAATTACGGGATTCATAGAGTACCAGATCGAACTCTTTTTATTGAGTAGAGCCGTGCGT